GGGGGGGGGGGGCGCACATCTCTGTGAGAGAGAAACAAGTTGTGCAGAATAGAGGGCCAGAAGCTGGTCTGCAAAAAATCCTTGCAGCCAGTAAAAGTGTGAAAGGGTAAGTGAGTTCTCTGTGTCAAAATGGAAATTCTCTCCTGCGTGAATAGGTGCAATTATCCAGCTTATACAATTATGGACACATGACTCATTTTCCTCTTACACTTTTTCATCCAGTAAGCCTAAAGAACTCTTAAGATGGGGTGCGGGGGAAAATCTCTCACAAGGGAGTGTCATTTCAAAAATTAAAGGAAATCGCTGGCACCCGAGGGGAAGCCGGAAACCGGCAGGGGGAAGTTGGGGAGGGGTCGGGGTCCTGCGGAGGGAATCCCTGAGCGGGCGCTTCAGACCGGGGCTACGCTGGGCGCGTCCCCTTTAAGGGGCGGGGAATGGGCGGGGCCTAGCAGCGGCCTCCCCTCTCCCAGACTACCCCGCGCGCGCCGGCAGTTCGGCCACGTCCCTGGCCACGTCGCGCCCGCTCTCGCCATCTTCGCCGCTTCCTCTCAGGGGCGGACGCTGCCGCTGCCGCCGCCGCCGCCGCCGCCGCCTGAGCTGCCGGGCCCCGGGCCGCCGCGCCGACCGCTGCCGCAATGAACATCTTCCGGCTGACGGGGGACCTGTCCCACCTGGCGGCCATCGTCATCCTGCTGCTGAAGATCTGGAAGACGCGCTCCTGCGCCGGTGAGCGGCGGGCCAGGTCCTGGAGAGGCTCGGGCGCCAGGCCGGGTCGCCCCGCGGAGCCGCGGACGTCGGCCGCCCCCCGGCCCGTGGGCCTGCGGCGCCCGACACACCCCCTCGGCTGGCCCGGCGGGGGGTCGGCCCGGGCGTGGGGCGGGGGGACCCTGCCCTGCGGCCCCTCGGGGTGGGCGCGCAGGCCGGGAGGGGTGTCGCGGCGCTGGGCCCCGCTGGGCGCTGGGTGGGCTCCCGAACTTGAGCTGTCGGGGCGGGGGAGGCGCCAGCCGGAATACGCGAGACCCCATTCTGTCTGAAAAGTTTGGATGGGGCGGGGGCCGGGGGAGTCCGGCAGGTTCGCCCGGGTGCCCTCGGCTCTGATGGGCGCAGCTCCGCGCGCCTGGGCGCCCGGGCGCCTGGGCGGCGGGTCCGGAGATGCTGGGAGCCCGCGAATCAATGGGACGGGAGGGAGGAGGATGGGCAGGACCGCGGCCCGCTCGGCCTGACGTGGCAGCCAGGCCAGCCCGGGAGGTGGAGCGGGAACAGGAGGTCACCCCGCTCGCTACCCTGCCTCTTCGAGGACTGGCCTTTGGGTTAGGGTGTCGCGTCAGGTCTGACCCTAGAGTTCTGTGGGCTTCACCCCAGCTCTGGGGTTCATGATCACGGCCGCCGCGGGAGGAAGTGTGAGGAGGTTCCTAAATGAATTTCTTGGGGACCGTCAGTGCTGCTTTGAAAAACGAACTAGTTTGTCGAACTCCGAAGTGCCTCCAGCTAATAACGGGTTCTCTTAAACCTGCGGCTCCGGGGCCCGCCGAGGTCTCATGTGGTCTCCTGTAATTCCTCACTCCACGTCACCAGTGAGTTGGCGACTCCCTCCTCTGGAGTACACATTTCATGCATGCATTGCTGGGAGGCAGTGGGACAAATCTTTCCCATATAACAGCTGTGAAGTTTTACATTTCATTAACCGTAAAAGTTTTGGAGGGGCAATTTTTTAGATGGTTTCTTGAAATGCAGTGTCCTCTTTAAACTTCTTTTTGATGCCATGTTCAAGAGCTTAATTTTTGCAGAGGCAGTAAAAGATGGATCTACCTAGGTGGCAGAGATCCCATTTCCCTGATCAGTTTCTAAAGATTTCCACATCTAGAGTAACACCCCACATCACTGAACGCTGTCTTTAGGACTCACCTATCTCCCCAGAATGTACCTGAGATCGAGGAAGTAAGCAAAAACAAGAGACCTTTGAGCAGTCAAAATGGATGTTCCAAAGTCCATGTACTGAACCCAGTGTTGTCTGGCTTGGGGATGATCTCTAATTTTGTACACATTCTGAGAGATTCAGTCCTAAGTTTTCCAATTATAGAAAAGTAATTGTGGCAACTGTGACAGCTGATGATTAAGTGCTTGCTGTGTGCTAGGTAGTGCACGAAATGCTTTATGTAGCTTTTTCCACCTAGTCTTTAAAATGATCTTAAGAGCTAGGTGCTATTGTCCCCATTCTGTGGAGGAGGGAACTGAGCCTGAAAGGAGATGGGGAAATTAGTGGTAGAGCCAGGATTGAAACACAAGCAATCTAATCACAGTTAAGGATTTTGAATCAGTATCTATTTGGCTAAAGTAATTTTAGTTTAAACTCTGATGACAGACTAGTAGTTTGGTCATCTATTTCATTACACTCAGGAAATATGCCTCCCCCCCATGTGCTTTATTGAGATATAATTGACATATAACATTGTTTTAGTTTTAGGTGTGCAACATAATGATTTGATATATGTATATGTTGTGGAATGATCACCACAGTAAGTTTAGTTAACATCCATCACCACACATAGTTAGCCATTTTTTTTCTTGTGATGAGAACTTTAAAGATCTATTCTCTGGGGCACCTGGGTGGCTCAGTGGGTTAAAGCCTCTGCCTTCGGCTCAGGTCATGATCTCAGGGTCCTGGGATCGAGCCCCACATCGGGCTCTCTGCTCAGTGGAGAGCCTGCTTCCTCCTCTCTCTCTCTTTCTCTGCCTGCCTCTCTGCCTACATGTGATCTCTGTCTGTCAAATAAATAAATAAAATCTTTAAAAAAAAAAAAAAGATCTGTTCTCTAACCAACTTTCAATTATGTAATATGGTGTTACTGACTATAGTCATCCTGCTATACGTGACATCCCCAGGACTTAATTTATTATATAACTGGAAGTGTGTACCTTTTTTACCCATTTCACCCACCCTCACTCAGAAAATGTTACTTTTATCTTGATTTTTGCTCCATAATTTTTGTATGAGTATCTTCATTTTCTTTTGTGTATTTCTCAGAATCCTGTTCTCTGTCAAGTCCTTAAGTATTGAAGCATGCTGTGTCTTAAACAGGTTTCTAAACTAAGATTTTGGGGGAGAAGCTAGTATACCTCCACGTATAAAATTCTTTTTTTTTTTTTTTTAAGATTTTATTTATTTATTTGACAGAGAGAAATCACAAGTAGACGGAGAGGCAGGCAGAAACAGAGAGAGAGGGAAGCAGGCTCCCAGCTGAGCAGAGAGCCCGATGCGGGACTCGATCCCAGGACCCTGAGATCATGACCCGAGCTGAAGGCAGCGGCTTAACCCACTGAGCGACCCAGGTGCCCCCTTTTTTTTTTTTCCACGTATAAAATTCTTAAGGGAACCTTGAGTAATGTGGAGAAAGTGAGAGGGTTTGCTGTTTCGTTTATTTTTTTTAATTTTTTAATTTTTTTAAAGATTTTATTTATTTATTTGACAGAGAGAGATCACAAGTAGGCAGAGAGAGAGAGAGGAGGGAGTAGGCTCCCTGCCAAGCAGAGAGCCCGATGTGGGACTCGATCCCAGGACCCTGGGATCACGACCCGAGCCGAAGGCAGGGGCTTAACCCACTGAGCCACCCAGGCGCCCCTGTTTTGTTTATTTTTTTATATTCACTATCTTCATTTGAGAGATTTAGGAGCATTTAGGAAAACAAAATACTTCAGCCAAAATAGTAAGGAAGGTAGGTATGTTTGTCAAGATGGGTTGTGTGTTTGTCAAGTATCCCAACAGTTAACCTGTAGCACTTATTAAACTATTCTCTTTGTCAGATTTAGGATCATTTTAGTTCTTATACATGAGAATTCCTGGCCTTTTAGAAATCAAAATCACCGAGATCATTTATTCATAATTAAATGCTAAATTTGATTGGCTGCTTTGTTTTTCCATTCTAAATTATGGAAGTTGTTTAGAGGCTTTTGAAAGAGTAAGAATTCGATATGAGTTTCTCAAATAACTGGAATAAGAGACTTGTACGTTCAGGTTGTGTTTCTCACTTTGACAATACTGGTATTGGGGTTCATTTTAGGATTTGGGCACCTGTTTTGAACATCCCTGCAGCCGGAACCATGGGGCTTTTTTCCCTTAGGGTAAGGGATGAGGCAGATTAGTGAGGAAGCTGCAGATTCTGTTTTCCTGACCATCTGATTTGAGGATGGCCACCTTAAAGGGCCTGTTTTAATGTGAGGACAGGAGAGCTGATCTTGGTTTAGCTCTCTGTGTCTTTGTCTGCTGTTGTCATTACAAAGGGGTGCCCAGTTGAAGTGTGACTTTCTCAGATCCCTGAACTGTTGCTGCAGCTGGATCCACAGTACGTTCAAGTTATCACTTTGTCCTTGCCCTAAACACTGACCTGGATAGCCTTGGGAGAACAAGTCTTGGTATGTAGATGAAGAACTTCCTAGCAACATTTTTCTGTAGGCTGGCTGATAGTTATTAATAGTGCTGTATCTATTGTGTTTAAATTACTAGTGGAGTCCTTTTGAGATCTGTCACTCCCAGGCGCCCTCTCCTAGTCTCTCCCCTCCTTTGCTTTGATTGTTGTTAGGTGTTGTTATGTTGGTTTTGTGGTAGACTTTTTATCCTTCCAAACATGACAGGAACATCCAGCGGCCCCTCCATTTCTCATAATTGGACAGCATATAATTTTGAATACAAAATCTCATCTTTTATTGAGGTCAGGAAGCTATTGTATCACATTCCCAGCTCACTCTTTGTAGCAGCTGTCTCCTCTGTTCTTTTGAGTGCCAGTCTGTTGGCTAATCATTGCTCTCGAACATCTGTTGGCCACCCATTGTGTGCAAAGCACTAGGATTGCAATTCAGAGAAGCACCTTGTAGCTAGCAAAGTCTCTGGTTTGAAGAAAGTTGCAATTTACTTGAAATAATAAGACATATATAAAAAGATAAACATAAAGGGTATTAAATGTAGGCAGTAAATCCTGTGGATGTGAAGTGGCTAGAAGGATCCCAGGGAAGGCTCCCATGACTTCCCAGCAAGGTGTATGTAAGACCTCTGTGAAGAAAAGTCTGAAACTTTGTTAATGGACATAGAATGACCTGAACGTATCTTTATAACCGTGGTTCTCAATAGGACCAGATAGGCTGGTAAGGAGGCAAGATGATTCATCTCCCCAAATTAACTTACTGATTCAGAATGTCATCAAAGTTAAAAGACAGTAAACTGAGAGAAGTAATCTGCAATATATCTAAGCGATGAAAAGCTCACATACATCATACACAAAATACACATAACACACATAATAAAATACTCCTACAAATTAAAAAAAATAAAAGGATAGGAAAATGGGCAAAGTTGGCAGTTCACAGAAGAATAGCAGAAGGCCCATTAAGTGTGAATGACTGCCCAGGCTCACTATAGTTAGGAACTCTGATGGTAAAACAGCAATGCATACCATTGTTTCCTTACTGGGTGAAAAAAGTAAGAGGTTAACTATCTATAAGTTAACTATCTGTAAGTATAAAGATGTTCCTTGTACCTAAATAACTACAGAACACTGTTTATAGATAAAAGGATGTTTGTGTAGTATTCATAAAAACAAAATTGCAAACAACCCAAATGTCCGTTAATGGAGTGGTTGCACAAATGTGGTATGATTGCACTGTGGGAACACTGTGCAGCTATTAACAAGAAGGAGCTGGAAGTGTTAACAGGGGAAGATAAATCTGAGAGGTTA